CCATCCGTATTTGAATGCAGTTCTTTCCACATGCAGGTTTCGGACATAGTGACATCCAAGATTTTCTGGACCCACTGGTCCAAACCTTCAGCCATAGCTAGAACCCATCGAGTTTCTGAAACAGGCGAAGATGGAGGATCAATACGGGTATAGAAAAATTCCTAATAAAAGAAATATTAAACAAGGAGCTTACGAGTGCGGTTCTATGCTTCCGGAAAGGATGAAGCCGTTGCCGAAATGATGTCGTTGGTGGCAACTGCAGCAAACCGTTCCATCCACCCACGGTCGTTGTCATCATCTATGCTAGATAACAAAGCATAATGGCCACGTTTGCTGAAATTTATCATTCTCCCGTAGAGGATTTTGGGGGATAGAGCTTCATCACATGATCTAAAGATAGCTCATCTCCTGTATCCTGACACACGCATCGAAGACAAGCAATCGTCCTCTTCACAAAAATACTTACTTGTGCAAAACATACCTGGTAGCGGAGGTAGAACTCCGCAACAACGGAGTCAAGCTCTCCACTCAAAGAGAACGCACCCAAAGTAAAAGGATACGTGTAAAAATTTGAAAACCCTCATTGGGTAAGGTCACTTGCTTTGTTAGATCAGGAGCAACAATGCCCAAATTATGGCAGCGGCGGCCTTCCTTCATAACAGGAATACTGAAAGAACAGATGGAAGAAGGCTGCCAATAGACCATGTGCAAGGGAGAGCCGAAGGAAATTTCTCTTTGAAATCTTTTGTTGTAACAAGACTTCTAGGAATGATAGAATCCACCGTTGGAGGAGCAGCATCTCCGGCTTTGCTCGTGCCCTTTGAAGAGCTAGCGTTCTTTGAAGAAGAAGCCATTTGGATGAAAGAAAAACTTTTCCGTTTGAAGGGAGTTAAAGAAAGGTTAATTAACAGTAAGGAAGATTTTAGAAAGCTTGGAAAATTATGGAGTATAAGGGGAGAAGGTTGATGCGTATAAGTACAAGTTTTGGCGGCTAAATTCATTGCCATGATTACCTCGTTAATCGGCAAAAGGTGTGTTGAATCGTGGGATGACGCGTGTTCGGGGCATTAAATGCGGAGAGACGTGCGTCTAATCAACTGTCAGAAGCTTTCAGAGGGAATCATAGTAATTCCCGCCAAAAGAGTGTTTCTACCAACTTCCCGGTGAAACAAAACTATGTCACCGAAAAGCAGGGTAACTATCTACATAGGGTAAAATATGTCATGCTAGGTGGCCGTTTAAAAGAATGACACGTGGAACCGAAGACAATTATCCCATCCGATACCGAAGGAATATCATTCATAAAGAAGCGATAAATACCCTCCGCCCGGTGGCATTAATGAAGAATATTCCACAACATTAAGTACGCTGCCCGTTACAAGGAATTTGACATTTATGCTCATCGTTACATCTTCATCAATGACCCTCATATTTGACATTAAAGAAGGGCACGATCCTAGGACCTCGTTCCCTAGACGTAGCTATAAATAGCAAGCTCTGTTATCATTGTAAGCACACGAATTTTCTAGAAAACTGACACTGCAATCTACTCAAAGCTCTATATAATTCTATATTCTTATTTTCTGTTCTTATTACTATCTTTACCTAGAGTTTGACTGCATTCTTGGATTCAATCTTATTTCATCTTCTACTTGTTGAAATTACCTTTTCTTTTTCAGTCGTTCTATAGCCGAGGGTCTATCGGAAGCAACCTCTCTGCCCTTCCAAGGGTAAGGGTAAGGCTGCGTATATCTTACCCTCCTCAGACCCCACTTGTGGGAAACTACTGGGTTTGTTGTTGTTGATTACTGTGCGCCCGGAGGCTTCGCTACCGGTATCTTTATTTCCGTCATATCGTCTTCATATCAAGGCTAAGTGTTATACATTTCTTCAATTATGTTACTATTTTAGGATCAAATTAATTTACTTGTCTAGAAACCATGTATAATTTCAACTGTACCGTCTTACGGATAAACACGCACACTTTTTGTTTCTCACAACTGTGACTCCTGCACATGTAGGAACACAACAATTTTGGGTTCTTACTGGAGTAGTACGGAGTACTTAGGGCCCGTTTGGCCTAAAAGAAGATTCTTTTTTTTTCTTATTTTTTTTAAATTAGCGTTTGGCCATGAAAATTTCACTTGAAGTTAATTTCTTTTTTTGGAATTTGAATAACTGCAAAAAATTATTTTTCAAAATTTTCACTTGAAAGCATTCACAAAAATTCAAAAATAGTTCCAAATTATATTTATGTCCAAACACAACTTTAGTATTCCCTTCGGTCCACTTTAATTGACTTTTTGGCCTTTTTTTTGTGGTCCACAATATTTAATTTTTTTAAATATCAAGAAAGAATTAACTTCTTTATTTCAAAGTTGCCCTTGGAGTAAAGAACCTATGAATATTTGTTATATTTTCAATGAACAAATTAAAGTTAGTATGGTCAATTACATTGTTAATTAATACTAAAATACGAAAGTCTTAATATGTGAAATATATCCAAAAAATCACTTAATGTAGATCGGAGTGAGTATAAGATTATTCATATAAAAAATACTACTGTAATAACTTTCTACTTTTCAAAATTATTCATTAAAATTTTTATTGTTATTTTCTTGATGAGATACTAACATCAAGCGAGAGAAACGGTCAGAGTACAAATATAACATCATTTATGTTTTTGAAATTAGGATCCGATTCTTAAAAAGTTTAGAGATTATTTTGTTTTATTGTTCAATCAATTATAATATTCAACGCACCTTTTGCTCTATATTCTTTTATAGGCAGAATACATAAGTGGACCTTTATACTTGGTCTTTTTCGTCACTTGGACACTTAAACATAGAGTTGTTCCTGTTAGGCACTTCAACTGAATCCTTCTGTGCCAATTACACACTTTCTAGACCATCCGAGAAAAACTTTTAAAAAAATTACACGTGTGTATTACAGTTGCCTCTAACACCTTAAATTTAATCACTAAACGTTTTCCATATAGTTAAAATATTCCACCTTATTGAATTAACCCCCAAAACAAATTGAAACTCATTTTCAGCAAATGGAAAACCTGACCGTCGGCTCTAGCGACTTTGTGCCCTAAAATGCTCACTGTAAATTTCCTCCGTTCAACTTTATCTCACTTCTTCTTGTCTCGATCTCACTGAAATATCACGCTATTCTCTCTATTCCTCGTCTAAGTTGGTGCTTTTCATGTCGATTGTCGTGGGTTTCTATTAAGTTTTCACTATCGACACGTGGTGGTGTCGAAAAATTAGATCTCAAATATTAAGTTTCTCTTAGGTAACTGTATCCCTTTTTTGTATTTTCGTTTAGGGTAATTTCTATGTCTGATTTCATAGTAACTTGTCTTCACTATGATTGGGGGTGGGGGGGGGGGGGGGGGAGGAAGAGGGGGCATTAACCAATGACCCTGTACCTGCATATGTTGGTGAGAAAGGTGTGGAAATTTGATCAATTGACAAGGCCATTTCTCATTCAAATGGGTGACCTTCAAAGGAGCCACCAACATTTCAAGATGCATGACCTATACGTATTCATTTTTCGTAATTTCACACGTAAAAGTACCTTTTGAAATTATTGGTCAAATATGAAGTACTTCTCGTATAATTTAGCTAAATACAAACTATTCCCAAAGTAATTTTGATATAAACTTCTCAAAAATAAACTAATTTCGACACTTCCCAACGAAGCTTATCGTTCCCTCTTTTATTTACGTAAATCATGATAACTACCTATTCTTTTGTAGTTAACTATATGAGCATTTATGAGCAATTAACTCTTACCCCCAACTTAAGTGACGACCCAACTTAAGTGGCTATATGAGCAATTGACTCTTACCCTTTACAACTATAAATAAGGGGTTAATGTATCCTTTTTTTTAGTATTATCCCGAATCATGTTTCGAGCATGTTTGCATGTCTAATATACTGTTTGTGACTAGTTGGCAGGGAGGAGCTAGGGGACGGAAGGGTGTTCATTTGAGTTCCTTTATGAAAAATTATACTGTGTATATAAGGTCAATTTGTTTCTTTAAAAATATACAGAGTACTATTATACTTTGACTTCCCTTGCAACAATCAAAATATTTCGCCGAATAATCGAGGGGATTCAAATTTGTCTTGAGATCACCAGTTCGATCCCACTCCGTACTTGAGTGTTTCTTTACCAGCAGATTCTAACAGAATTCAATTCTTCTAATTATATTCTTATTGTATAATTCAGTCTCAAAATGACTTGCGACATCATATAAATGATGAATCATTTGGCGGTTGTTTGGTGCCATATGTAAAAAAAATGTATTTAATTATATTTCTAATGATGTTATCATAAAAACATTTCAAGAAATGCAAACTTGTCGATTACACTTATAATCATATATTTTTGTTGCGTTTATAATTGTAAAATTGTATTTGGTTTGCTTGACTTTTCTCTTTAAAAAAAAAAAGAAGTTTTGAACTCCCTTAATGGAAGTTCTGGCTATGCCGTTTTTAATTGTAAAATTGTATTTGGTTTGCTTGACATTTTTCTTTAAAAAAAAAAAAAAAAAAAAGGAGAGAAGTTTTCAACTCCCTTAGTGGAAGTTCTGGCGATGCCACTGCTTGTTGTTGGACTCAACTTTTAAGTATTTGCAGTGTGACATCTTCTAGGAAGAATCTGCCGACTGCCATCTTTGAACTCTCATCATCCTATAGTTAATTACGTATGCCTTAGGGTTGTTTTAATAAAATAAAATGTGTACACTACAATGTTACCAGTAAAGAGAGAACTGACGTTTATTGTTTAATTTGCATGGTCATTCAGACTTTGAGAATATCCATCATTAAAAATACAACTATTATGTGACTTCAATAGGATGAATAAGCAAATTCATGAAATAAAAAGGTTTTGCTATGTACGTCGTAAGAATTCCTCCCATCTGCCTTTCAATGCTAACATTTTTGTACTAGCTATGTTTTTACTTTTTCTTGTGAGTTCATAAAGAAAAATAAGAAACAAATAGTTCCATATTGGTTCGAATATAGCAGTAAAGGGGTTATAAAGGAGTATGCAAGTGGACATGGATGATGTAGTTGTAGCCTCATTCTATAGAACCATGTATAGAAGGGAAGCAAATTCACTCTTGTCGGAAACAGAAAGGCATATGTAACGCAACCCCAACTAGAGGAGCAACAGCAACCTCAACATCATTTTTATTGTCAGCTTAACTACACTGTATAGATAGATGTGTTTACACTTTGGCAGAAGTGTTGGGAACAGCAGCGGCATCCTTGAGCATGGGAAGTAGCTTTCCCTGTTGATGCTTCTCTATTATGCCTGCAGAAGAAGAAATAAATGTCACAGCTGCGGGCAAGTTTTAGATGGAAGGAAGAGATGATGCTGATAAAAGAGGATAAGTTGGCGATTCTTACTGTCGCAGCCACCAACATGTTTTCCCCCAATAAACACGTTTGGCACAGTCCTCTGCCCAGTCCATTCGAGTAGTGCTTGTTGCACCTCATTTCCATCACCTTCAGATAAACAAAATTTGCACCAAAGAATTCTCATCGACTATAATGCGCAACTATAGGGTTCAGGAACTATTCAAGTAAACATACATTGTGGCAAAGCTAAACTAAGCCAACAAGTTCAAGGTATCTATTAGAAGACCCAATCTTCCAAACATGTTCTAGCCAGTGCTTCGACGTACTTCCAAAACCAAATTCAAATTCTCAAGGCGCTAGATGGCAATGCTGAATGCTTATAAGCAGGAAGATTATAAAACAAACTGCTAACACTGGGCACTGGAGCCATGCCCTCCAGTGCCCCACACCAAAAACTAATACGAAATTTCCCCTAGGATACGATAATGACCCCTGTTTTGCTTAAAATAATCATGGGGCCAGAAAGTTCCTGACAATGGGTACAAAATACTTTCCATTGAAAGAAGTATCGTGGTAACCAACAAAACAATTATAAAAATCATTTGTAACTCTTAAACCTCCAGGATTTAACAGTGTTGAAAATCGAATATTTAGCCATACTTGGCAAAATTCATTCTGAGACATCGTCAAACAGACCATTACAATTAGATACATAACATCCTTTTTGCTTAATCTACTCTATTTTCGAACCTTGGTGCTTATAATATTTTAGGGACAACATCCTGCTTCGCAAAAGGAGGTCGAATACTTCTTCGGATCTGTTAAGAAACTCCGGGGTCACTTACTTCCTAATACACCCAAGAGAAGACATCCAAATCTTCTTAAACATTCCCTTTTTCAATTAACTTAGAGATAGAACAGTTGAAGTAATATAGAAAATAGAAAAAGGAAGGAAAACAAGACGGTGGAAGTGAAGGGAATCTTGTCACGAGATTTTCTATGATTTTCTTAATAGCTATTGAAAGATAGGATTTTGGTAAATAAAAGGATCATATATAAGACGTTTACCAGAGAAGTGACACATGGAATCACAAAAGAAAAAAAGAGAGGAAAACAATCTGAAACACTACCACCCCGCCCCTGCTCATCCTCCCGCCTAATGCAAGTACTAATGGCCGTTTCCACAGCACGAACCTATGACCTATAAGTCACATGAGAATGTCAAAACCGAGAACTTACAAAATATAAAAAGGTGGCATTCTTTAACAACTAAAAGAAGAAGGTAAGACACATTAATTGAAACTAGTAGTATTTTTTGTCTTTGATGGATTTGAACCTTGGAAGCTTCATAATCCCAAAAATACCTACTATAAGGAATCCGCATTCGCATTCTATACATTGAATAACCTTCCTCTTAACTATTGAACCTAATCAGCTGACAGAAATTCAAGTTTTTGTGCAGAATGTCAATCTTTTTATACAAAAAAGAGAAGAGAAAAGCAAAAGAGGATCTTTTTTGCTTTGTGAGCATAAAACTAGATCTAGGGTAAGAAATCACAATTTTTTTTTTTGCAACAGGGTTATATAAAGCACTTAGAAGCAATTATTAAGTGGAATGCCTCACTTTCCTGGTCAACTTCAATAACTTTGAAAGTAGCACCAAGTTGGGAAAGAAGCTGCTTCACCCTCGTGCAATATCCGCAGTATGTTTTACTGTATGAAGATAAAAGCAATTAAACACCATAGAGTGATTAATAAACATAAACTTCTTGTCACAAATGAGACAAACTGGGAGCTCATTCAGAAACAATTACATATTTTATGAAGGTTAAAGACACAGCCTGCAACCTTATACTGTTATACAACGAAGATCATCCTTTGATATTTAATGCTAGAAAAAATGATCCTTTTTCTAAATGTCCCCTTAATAAGAATAGGCTAAATTCCCAAGAAACCGATTCATATTCCCCAATTTTTTATTCCCCAATGCATAAAATAGGAAATTGGAAAAGTAAAAGATTCCTTTTTTTTACTATTACTGATATTAAATTGAAACTGAAATCAAGATAGAAACCCCAGAAAAAGTGGGTATTTATACCTGAAGACGACGACGGGGTTAGAGGAAACGATCTGTTTGGCTTTGGTAAGGGCCATCTCCATTTGTTCTTGGCTAATCTGAGGTGAACTGAACATTGATCCCATTTGAGTATTCCTTTATATAGAGTAAGTATACAAAGAGATGAAGGGGTTTAAGTTTTAACAGCTGTTGGAAGTTAGTTTTGGCTTGGTGTTTGGAAGAAGTACAGGTGGCTTCTTCTTTCCTCTTTTTCGGTGCCACCCCAATATTCTCCTGCGGTGAAATTTGGAAACCTTGATACTGTGTTTGACTTTTTGATCAAGAAAAGGGAGATGGCACCAAGCTTTTACAATTAATTTATTTTAAGAAATATCGTCTCCGGTCCACAATAATTAACCAATATATATATATATATATATATATACTATATTATAAACATGAACACCTTAAGTTAAAATTAATTTATAATAATATCCTTTAAAAATTTAGTGACATTTTTAGCCTTCATAACTAATTATTCTTTCCAGTTCTTCTAAAGTTTGCTTTTCTATTTTAGCACTTACATTGCCATTTAGTGAATTTATTAATGTATTATATGCACCTAAATCTACATGTTTTCTAGAGTTAATATTTTAGAATTTCTATGGACTTGCACGTCTTCAATAGCTAACTTTTGCAATTCCCTACCGTTTATATTTTATTGTTTTTCTCTCAATGATAACTTTACAAATTCTAATTCAATAGAGGCTGTCTTATTTCTTTGGACCCTTATCCAGATGTGCACACAAAGACGTCCACACACAACAATCCAAATGATTTTTGCAAAAGAAATCCTGTTTAATTTACTTCTTTAGTTTGTTATTGTCACGATCCAAAATCCACTAAGGGTCGTGATGGCGCCGAACACCACTGTCAGGCAAGCCAACACCAATTTACTTGAAATTTCTTGTTTTAACATTTTCGAGATCGTTCCTTTTGTACATTAAACAATATGTAATAAGTTTTACTGAATAGATACTGATGTCTTTAACAAACTCAATATTAAACAATCTCATAATCATCCCAGAACCCGGTGTCACAAGTGCATGAGCTATCTCTAGGAAACAAAATAATACAACAACTGTCCACAGATAATAAATATGAAAATCTGAAAAAGACTCTGCTGGTCGCGGGTCGTCTCGAGAAGTGCAGCTCACCTAAGTCTCCGTATCAACCATGCTGCTACGCCCACTAGGCCGCTAGAGATGCAGGTGCCTGTGCAACAAAAATGCACAGCAAGTGTAGCATGAGTACGAAAACAGCGTGTACTCAGTAAGTGTCCCGCCTGATCTCGAAGAAGTAGAGACGAGCGGTCAACATCGACACTTACTAGTGGTCCAATGATGATACATCAATAATATAACAAGTCGAGTGCTTATGTAAACATGACTGTAATTCAATATAGTGAAGCAAGTAAACAATTCTTTCTTTTATGTGAAAATTTCCAATTTCATTTTTCATCATTTATACATATATTTCCAAGCCGGGAAGAAGCAATATCAACTTCAGTAAATTACAAGGCAAGCAATACAAGCATGCGCAAATCATGTCGAGGACGTACCGCCCGATCCAACAATATTTAAACCGTGCACTGCCAGAGGGTCGAATGGCGCGAACCATAGATGCATGTATTACCCCGCTTGCGAATCATACATGCGACGCGGTCAAATTTAAATAAACATTCCAAACAGTCAATCAAAAAACCATCAGGGAATCAATCATCCAATAAAAGGAAAACTCTCTTTTTAAAAGTCAAGAAACGAATGTCTAGTTTTTATAAATTCTTTTATACATTTCAATATATTTTAAGCATTTCAATTTGACAACAAGATTTCAAATATTACAAGTAAAACATGCTTTTGGGTCCTAGACTACCCGGACTTAAGCATAATAGTAGCTACGCATGGACTCTCGTCATCTCGCGCATACGTAGCCCCCACAAATAGGAACACATAACCAATTAACTCACCTATGGGACAATTCCCTCTTACAAGGTTAGAAAGGAGACTCACCTCGCTCCGAAGTTCCATAACCGTCATTCCACGCCTTTTCGAAGAGTTAAATTGATGCACAACGCTCCATAACTAGCCAATTATTATGCAAATCCATTAATATATGTTCAACTACTCATAATAATCCAATTTATATCAATTTCTAACCCCGATCGAAAAGTTGACAAAACGCCCTCGGGCCCACGTGCCCGGATTCCGAAATTTTTCGAAGATAAAGTTTCCCCATAATCTCACGAATTTAAATATATAATTTACTCTATATTTCATGCCCAAAATCATGGTCAAAATCCAAGAATACCAAATTTCTAGGTTTTGCTCAAAATCCCAAATCCCTACAAATTTCCATGTCCAAATCCGTATAATCATGTATTTAACTCAAAGCTAGCATAAATCACTTACCTCATGCTTGGTGGTGAAAATGACACCTCAAAGTTGCTCCAAAATTCAGCTCCAATTGAAGAAATGAGGTTGAAATGAACCCAACCCCCGATTTAAAAGAACCTCTCTGCCTCCACCATTTCCGCACCTGCGGTCACTTGACCGCTTCTGCGTTTCCGCAGGTGCGACTTACCATCCGCTTCTGCGGTCCCCCTCCAAGCCCCCAACTTCCGCATCTGTGCATCTTCTTTCGTAGGTGCGGTCCCGCATTTGCGGCAAAATGACCGCATCTGCGGTCCCAGTCTAGCCAGCCCGCATCATTGCTGGCTTGAGAATTCAACACCGGACTAATTCCTCAAGTACAAAGATAGGTTTATTTTGGTGTTGGACTTCCTTGTAGTGCATTACCTTTAGTCCATGTCTAACAGAACCCAAAATATTAACAGAAATTCAAAACTAAGATTAAAACTAATGGCAACTTAAATGCTAATGCGAAACACAATGTAAGGCCAAAGAGTCAATTTTTTTTAGACCATCCAAGCTTGGGATAGTGTACGTTAGAAGATTGGGAAGTGCCTCCCGATGACTTCAACTTTTGCAAATGTTCTGCACTTCAAATCAGAGGAAGAGATGCTAACAGCAAGCTCATGGAACTAGCATATGCTTTCTGGGGATTTTAATTGAGTTGATTTCTAAGATGGTCACTCAGTTAATGACAATTGTGTAAGAAAGTTATTTTTTTTATTTTGTAATAGAAAAATCACTCTTTTTTACTATTTTACTTATGTTCGCTCAAAAGATGTTACACATTTTACGAGTACAAAACAATATAAATTAATCCCGGGATAATCATAGCAAATCGTAATAATCCGTTGGACCAATTGAAAGAAATGAAAGCAAGAACTTAGAATTAGGGGGAGAAGCATTAGAAACCTTTATTGATAATATTTGTTTGGTCTGCCTCTCCATGAAGAGGTTCAGAGCCTTACAATGGTGTTTTTCTCTTCCCATAAGAGGGGTATATTTTCTCGTTTCTCTCTCCTCTCACTAGTGGTGAAGAAGCCCCCCCATTCTAGGGTTACTGCTCTTCGTATTTATAGATGTGAGCTTTGTGAGCTGGCCATAAATGGCCGTGGCCATGCTGAAGTTCCGTCCCCATGGGGGAATGACTGGGCCGTACCCTCGTAGATTAAATCGGACAAGAGTCAAGTCCTGTTACGAATAAAGTGACCATACCACTTTATTAATTATGTATTAGCTCAGGACGAGATTAACTCCGTTAATTATCGTGGGGTCGGATTTTGACCCATACAACTTACACAGTCAATTTATTTGTTTTCTAATAGAAAAGTCACTATGTTTTCAGCATTTCACATACAAAGTCGCTCTATATATTCAGGTGATATTTGTGGTGGCTTTAGCTCATGTGACAATATTTTTTGAAGCCAAATGGCATGACCTTGTCACATCATCATGCCACATATATAGGTGCTATTTGGCAAAGTTCGGAACCAAAATAATGCAAATTTGGACTCAAAACACGAAAATAGGTAAAAAAAAATATTGATGACTTTTTTATATATAGCGCATGAAACAATAATAGAACAACAACATCCCGGCAAGGGAACGATAGTATAACAACAACATCCCGGCAAGGAACAATAATATAACAACAACATCCCGGCAAGGGAACAATAATATAACAACAACATCCAGGCAAGGGAGTAATAATACAAATCATCATATTAAGCACGAATAAACCACGACGAAGTCACAACAATTACAATACAAGACTCACGGGCATGCTTGACACCGACGTATAAATATCCGTCACCATGCCTGTACGTCGTACTCCATAGTTAACACATAGCAAATAAGACACAACTCCTAATCCCTCAAGCTAAGGTTAGACCAAACACTTACCTCAAACTTCCACGGCCAACTCAAGCCTCAAACACCGCTTTTCCTTTAGAATTCGCCTCCAAATTACTTGTATCTAGTCCAAATTAATTTAACAACATCAATTAATGCTAAAGAATTCGTACCCAATGCTTAATTATAGGTTTTTCTATCATTTTTCCCAAAAAGTCAAAAATCGACCCCGGGCCATGGTCGAAACTCGAGGTTCGGACCAAAACCCGATCACCCATTCACCCACGAGCCCAAATATGCAATTAGTTTCGAAATCAGATCCCAAAACGAGGTCTAAATCCCAATTAATCAAAAAACCCTAACTCTACCCAAATTCCTAATTTCTACCATAAAAACCCTAGATTTTAGGATGAAAATTGATGAAATGCAATGGGAAATCGAAAGAAAAAGGTTTAGAATCATATACCAATGCTTTGGGGAACAACTTGTTCTTTGAAAATCGCCTCAATGCTCCCTAGTTTTGAAAATATGAAGTTTTAGACTAAATCCCGATTTTGCTACCGTTTTTAATTCACTGGACAGGCCTTCTTCGCGTTCGCGAAGGGCCTGTCGCGTTCGCGAAAGGTCAGGCCCAATAGCCTTCGCGTTCGCGTTTAGTGGCTCGCGTTCGCGGAGCTTTAACTCCTCAAGCCTTCGCGTTCGCGGGTCAGTGGCCGCGTTCGCGTAGAAAAAAATCCCTTTCCCCCTGCCCCGGCCCAAAGGCCTTCGCATTCGCGATAGCAGGTCCGCGTTCGCGAAGGGTAGCACCCCCAAGGCTTCGCGTTCGCGTAGAAGGAAAATTCCTTCAGCCTGACTTACCCTTCACGTTCACGAGAGTCCTTCCGCGAACGCGAAGAACAAAACTCCTGAATACCAGAAACTGAAAACCTGCAACTCTTCTAAGTGTAAAAACATCCTGAAACCCTTCCGAAACTCACCCGAGCCCTCGGGGCTCCTAACCAAACATGCATAC